AGCAGCTGGGGAGCTTCGTGGTGCTCTCAGGAGGAAACCACTCCAGCCTTGGGGAACAGCTAGACCCCTCTGAGCCACCTCCCACGCCAGACTTCTGCAGGGGCTACTTTGACGTGATGGGGCAGTGGGACCCCCCCTTTAACTGCAGCTCGGGGGAGTTCATCTTCTGCTGCGGCACTTGTGGCTTCAGGTTTTGCTGCAAGTTCAAGAAGACGAGGCTGGATCAAAGCACCTGCACAAACTATGAGACGCCGTTGTGGATGAACACTGGGAAGCCTCCTTCCCGCATAGACGACCCTCTGCATGACCCTACCAGGGATAAAACCAACCTCATTGTCTACATCATCTGTGGGGTTGTGGCAGTCATGGTGCTGGTGGGGATCTTCACCAAACTAGGGCTGGAGAAGGCGCACAGACCCCAGCGGGAGCACATGTCCAGGTAAGGCTGAGTGCCAGGCAGCAGGGTCCTTTTCCGTGCTACCTCCCCCCCAACCCCTAAAGAGGAGAGAGAAGCTCACGTGTTCCTGCTAAACAAGTAACTCCTGCCAGGCAGGCTGCATTGCCCTGCAAGGCGACCGAGAGACACCAACTTTGGAGAGCAGAGCTCCTGTGGTTCCCTAAGCTCAGGTTATTAAAGTACATGCATATTGAGGAAGACTAGATATAATTGTGGAGTCTGCACAGACAGTAGCCCATTTTTATCTGCAGTGCCTGACCATCTCCCCATCTAGATCCAGCAAGTGTTCCTGTATATACTGTGCATGAATAGGAAAACAAAAAAAAATTCCTGAAACCAGCAACACTGAATTATAGAAAGCCCGATGAGTTCCTTCTTCCAACTGTTTCAAAGCTTGGAAAATGTTTTTACTTCTCAACAGAAGGATGTAAACAAATGTCATCTCGCCCTCCTTCTCCAGCTGCAAAATGGTTTTGGCAGGACCTTCCCTACTCCCCCAACTCTTGCAAGTGTGTGAGCTATTTGTAAAATTTCTAAGCTGTGAAAATGAGCCAGAGTGGAAGGGAAGAGGGAGACACAAAAAGGAAAAGCTACGGCAGAAATTCTTAGCATTTCTTTGGTTACTGTTGAGAGGTAAAAAATGGAATATGAAAGTCTTGTCTCATCCATATATGTGTGTGTTATACTCTGTATCCACAGTATAATGGCTGAGTTATGTCAAAGAGAACCTCCCCCACCTAGAGTTAGGCATGCTGTGTACCGTCTACTCCAGATACTGGCTGCCTAGTGGTGGACAGGCAGGTGGGCAACTCAGGACAGAGCCCAATGGCTTTAACAGCATATTCCGAACCCAGATTTTCACAGCAGTTCAAAATCAAGGCATAACACATTTGTCAAGTTTGCAGTCTGTCTGATTCTTTATGCTAATCCCAGGCACATGAAAGTAAAGCAGATGGGGAAAAGGCATTAAAAAAGGCAAACAGCTCCATTAAGGAGTCTAAATAGATCCCAGCATACTAGGCAAATTTAGTGATGAAATGCAATTAAATGAATACCTTCTACTGGACGTGCAGTGTGGCAGAAATCTTCCTCTTAGCCTGACTGGTAACAGTGTAGTTCACAATCTTCAAAGATTAGATGAAGAGTCATCCTTTGAAAGATAGTCCCAGCAATCAACTCAACACCTGGAGCCTTATTTTTTTACTGAAGTTTCTGCATGACTTTTTAATTAACTGCTTATCCTGCAATGAACAGAGAAAGACACAAAAATACTCTTGCAAATGCATCACCAGTTCACTAGCAATTATTTGCTATTTATAAACTGGCTGATATGGATACGCTTTTACTACTGAGGAACAAAGCACATTGCAGAAAATTTAGTCAACTTAACATTTCTTTTTTAAATCTTACTCTTAAACTACAGAGCTTGTTTGGAAAAAGCTCTCCCTTGCTTCTGCCTCTTCCTTTAGTGTCTCCACGCAGGCAAAAAAGGAAGGGCTCGTAACAGTTAGAAAAACCAGGACACAGTGAACTTGTACCCATCCCTGCTTACACATGGCTTGAATAGGTCCTATTTCTACTAGTAGAAATATTTGCTATCTAAAGTACAGGTGTGAAGCATTCTGAAAGGCTATTTTGTCTTAGTTTATGGAAATAGAATTACAGGGGATTGGAAAATCATTCTTAAATCCTTCAGTCATGTATGCATAAAGATTAGGTTTCTGAAGTGGTTCTTAGAAAAGGTCATCTGTTACCCTGATTACTTAACAGTGTCTGTGATCTTGTACTTTTCTTGCCATGAAAATATTCAAGTCAGGATTATGTAGAAACTTGAAAAGTCATGATCACATGGAAAAACAGTCACCCACTCAGTACACATAATAGCCAGTCATGTTCTGAAAAAGCAGTGCTATCGCACTTTTTTTTTTTTTAAAAAAAAAAGTTCTTACTCTAGTTACAGCTGTGGGGTGGGCTTACCATTAATTTGAAAAGGAATTAGATTTGTAAATCCTTTCAGCAATCTAAAAATCTGTTCATTGAGTGAAGAATTGAAGTAACCTCTTTGTTCTCGAATGTGTGTTTAACTACAATATTCCATCCTAGCTCATTTTACACTACTAATGTTCGGAAGAAAACGCTGCAATGCTTAAGAAATAATGCATCTGTTCAAACAGTTAATAGTACCAACAATTAAAATAACATGTAGCCTATATTCATATTCACAGTCTTTCATAACACTCGTCACGGAAACATCAAAAAACAAAACAAAAAGAACACTCCTTTTGTTTGTTTTTTTTTCTTCTGTACTGAACCTTATTAATAAGAAAAAATATAACGCATTGAGAGCGTTTGGTAGGCCAAACCAAATGTACTAAGTGTTACTCCATTTTGGCTGACAGCAAGAAACACACAGAGGCTGATTTGTCATCTATTTCCTTAGCTAAGATTGTCTCCTTTTCCTTTCCTAGCCAATGGCTACATGAAACACTTGAATCCTCTTCATTCCTATGAACAAATTCACCTATGGAATGGATGGTACTGCTCATCAAAAATTACAATGCTTATTGTAAACTGATCTTTTTTTATGAGGGTTGATTTTTTTAAAAAAGTGAACAGAATACAACTGGTGTAAATTATATATTTCCATTTTTGATTTACTAAAAATATTTAAAAACATGGGAGTAAGAACATTGACTTATAAATAGGAAGCAAAACTGTGCCACACGTAATTCCTTGCATTATTTCATCTTGCAGTCAGTGGATCTGCTGTTGAAGTAAGACACTGGTATGTGTAAGAGTGGTACAATGTTAATAAAGGAAACTTCACAGGCTTGGTGAGTGTAGTCTCCCTACGCTTGCCTTTCATGACGGTTTGTTTACTGCTATACCAAAGCAAACCAACACTCCACTAATTTCACAGGACTTTCCTGAAATATTTGACAATGAGAAAGCATTGTGAAAATGTATTTATTTAGTGAAAGCAATCCATAGGAAATAAATCTCTGTTGAGTAAGTCCTTTTAGGAAAAAAGAGTCAAAATTTGTACTTTTTTAGAGAGTTTGTTACTTCCTTTTGTTTTGAGAAAAAAGGTCAAGTGTGGCACTGTTGACATTTTCTTTCTTGTTAGATCAGTGCTTTTCAGTAAAACACTGTTGGCATGGAACTGTAAATCTGGAAGATGAAAATGGAGAGGGAAGTACAGTATAAACTCTACATGGCATATTTAGCTTTAGACATTGTATGATAATGTCTTGTTTATATCATTCTCCTAGTTTTTAAATTTGTTACTTGACATTAAAAGGAGATAAATATTCCCTTCAGCCACAGTGTCCAAGAACTAAGCAGTGATGGTAGTATCCAAACAAAGTGATTCTTCCTTTACCCTTCTGCTTTCTAAGAGAAAGGAATAAGACGGTGTATGTTATCAGACATGGCAAAGGGGATGAATGGGGCAGTTTTGTGCCTAAAAGGAAAGAGAATTGATCTGCCTCCTGAAGTGGACCTAAAAGGTCTGTTAGGCATATGAGGGCAGCATGTTCTTGCTGCTTGAGACTACATCAATGGGATTCCAGGCTCCATCAGTTAAAGTGGAGAATCCTCTCTTGAAAAAGCAGAAAAGGGAAAAGCTTTACTTCTCTTTCATGGGGGAGATTTTTCTGTAAATAAAACCACACCTTTGCCTTCTTCCCTAATCCTTGTGAAGAATGTGAAAATAACCCAAAAACTGAAAGGACAATATTTACTATCATGCTCATACACTATAGCTCCTGTTTTTTTGAAGCACTGCTTCTGACAGTAAGTTAGTAGCCTTCCAAACATTGTGAACTATTTGAGCTCTTTCTTCCTTCACAATGTGCTGAGCTCACGAGTTCAGTATTTTGTTGATTTGAAAGGCATGTTCCTGGTGCCAAAAATATCTGACTTACCAAAATCCTGAATTTTATGTGTGAAATTATTTCCCTTATGGGTTTTGACCCAGTTTTGGAGGCAGAATATGACTAGTGACCTTTCATGAAATAACCTGTGTTTCAGCTTCTTCAAGCTTGTACCCATAAGAGAAACGCCTAGTTCCACACGTTCCTAGTAACACATGAAAATGATATTACATATCCAAAGAGAAAAATCTTATGGCAAGAGAAGTGCTGAAGTTTTGTGATACTTGGGTAGTTCTGGGACGTGAACTCCTATGTAGGTAACATTTCTCCACTTCTGTGATACTGCAGTCAGTATCAACACACAGGACCTAATCATATAGCTACCTGAATAGAAGGTTATCTTGTATTTCGCATTTCCTTAAAACATCATTCAGTATAGCAAAGGTGTAGATAAAGACCCTCTACGTATATATAATTTTTCAATGGGACCCACTCTAACAATTTCTTCAGATAATGAACAAAATTTATATGACAGTATTCAGGTGAGACATGCCTGAAGGTATTGTAACAGGCTGTTGGCCTATGTGGAATTTTTCAAAGCAAATATCTATTCAAGGATTTTGTCATGTACTGGGGTACAAACCTTCCTTTATCCGTTTCCTTATATGGACAAATCCCTAAAAGAACAAAATGCAGGTGCAGCATTTCCTGTGTACTTCAGTGATACAAGCTGCTACACATTTTTAACTCTCCCTGACATTAGTGGAAGATAAGGACAAGCTCTCTGTTATATGAGCTATTCTGCCCTGAGAAGATTGTACAAGTTTGGCTAACACAGTGTAAACATAGGTGGTGTGTTTCTAACAGTAGAATTTGATGGTGAGTAGTTCCTTTTTTCTTAATATAGTTGGAGTTGGACAGCTAATTCCTTAAAACCCCTTTGAAAAAAGCCATTCTAAAATGGTGGAAAACTTAGTTGGTGTTTTCACAGACAGGCAGTAGTTAATCTGCTATCATATGGGCTGTTATTTAAAGTCTGCAGTGAAAAATATTTACCATCAGATTAAGGGCAATGAGGAAAGCATTTCTGAAAACCTGCTCTCACAAAGTTGGGAAATGCTAATCCATGTATTACGAGATCTCACAGTTTTAACTCCCACACCGAAGTTAGGAACTTTAATTTGCTTTTCTTTCCTTCCCAGAAAAGTGTTGAGCTGCCTCTGGAATTAGAATTAATATGGATGTCAATAATTTCCTTTTTATAGAGACATATTTGCATAAATTGACTAGATATTAATGGTTTTGGTCCTCACTTATTTTAAACTAGGTTTTGCAATATAATGCTTTCCTTTTGCATCATTTTTTACATACCTTTGTGAGATCTCTTCTATTGAATTTTTATTATTCTGCTATGTAGGCCAGCTCTGCTATTTCTGCTGTATAAGCATTGCTTGAAATGGGAGCATTGCTCTGATACCATTAATCATTTGGTTACTGTCTTCTGACCTTTTACAGTATCAACAGAGTATTCTGTAACGTGTTGATCACAACTGTAACTAATATTTTAATAACATAATGCTAGCCATAAACACAATGAAACAGTATCATTCAGCTGTATACCAAAGCAACGTTCCTGCAATCTGAAAGCAAGATCCAGCTCAGAATTCCTCTCTGTAACTTAAAGGAAGCTACTTTTTAATATTTAAAAGTACAGTGCTTCTCGATCAAGAAATCATCATGCCACAGAAACACAGTGGAGGAGCTAGACAGCACTTGGCATGGCTTTCACCAGTGACTGTGCTTATTTTTATTTATTTATTAGTTTATAAACTAGTTTTTCTTGATGCAATATCTGGGACACTTTGTATAATTTTGCAGAAAATTAAACTAAACTGGGCACAGTGCCCAGAAAATGCATGCATTCCCTTTAAAAAAATAGCTCAAGGAGTGTAAAAATTAAAACTAGTAGAACAAAAAGGAGGCAAATAATGGTCAATGATGCATTGACCTGGATAGAAGACTTGCACTGAACCCTGAAGACACCGGTAACATATACCATAGCTTTCCTTTGCTGAAGGCAACAGCTTCTGCAGGTGGGCCAACGATGTGGTATGGCACAGCAGTTCAACAGGTAGCTATATGGCATATTCAGGGGCTAATCCTGCTCCTACAGAAGTCGGTGGTAAAACTCCACAGCCCAGAGTCACAGACAGAGTTAGATGTTGCCATGCTGAGAGTTTCAGAGCTTAAAACTCAGTCACTAACTCTGGATTCACAGGGCTGGTACAGGTGTGTGTACTTATCCGTATGCCTAAGAACGGACTTGCACTCAGCAGGACGCTCCGCAGTGAAACTAGTCCTTATAAAATCCACCAGCGCAGGAGGAATCCTTCTCTCTTTCAGACATGGTTACTGCCCGCAGCTCTGCAGAAAAAGTCCTAACCAGTATCAGGTTGGGTCTGGCCTAACTGTTAAGAATCTTTTTGCTTGCTCCCTCTTTGCTAGCATAAAGCTTTCATCCTGTTTCTGAACTGGCTTCAAAGCAGCAAGGAGTGTTGCTGTGCAAGCTTTGCTCCATCTTAATGACTAGGACACTCATAGAAGTTAGAAAAGAGATTTTGATCTCCCCTTCTGGATAGGAAAAGCTTAAATCCCTGATCATGAAGAGTGCTATGCCCACTGGATTGCTACATGAAAATCATGTGACCTTTCAACTTTGGTAACTTTTGTAACTTTTTTGAATGAAAATGGCCAAGACCACTGGGTCGTGTGGTGCTCTGTGCAAATGCACGTGTGAGAACTTACTTTGACAGGCCTTGCTGGTAATCTAGGTGTGAAGATAACTAGTTAGGTGCTGAGGCGCTCAGCTTGTTCAAGATGGCAATGTTACCGAGCACGTGCAATGGCAGAACTCTACAAGTCTCAACAAGCTTAAACAATGTTCCTGCAAAGCCAAGACAGCTAAAGAACTTACTGTGTTTCTGTATATTACTGCTAGCACACTGTCTGATACAACCTAAAAAGAGCCTTAGGTGTGAAGTCTCACAATGAATCTGATTCCTTGATTTTGCTGTGAATGGAGCTGGTTTCTCCACAGGCATTGTGACGGACTGCATCACAAACTCAAAAAACCTTGCAATATATAGGTAACACCTTATAGATTTTTGCAGGTTCATTCTGATTTTGTTTGGTTTTCAGGGCTCTTGCTGATGTTATGCGACCTCAAGGTCCTTGTACAACAGATCATATGGAAAGAGATCTAAACATTGTAGTACATGTGCAACATTATGAAAACATGGAGACGAGACCTCCTCCAAATAATTTACGTAAGTTGCATTACAACTTTATCAATATCTGGAATGCTGGCACTAAAATGAGCATTATGAAACAAATATTGCTGGATGTCAAATGAAGATTGAGAGTACATGGGTTCTTGCAAATTAGAAGTATTCTTTATTTCAGAACTAGAAATATTTAGGATTTCCTAATGCAAATAGTGCAACACTAAGAGAAAGCCATTTTGAATAGAAAAATTAGTTATTATATTTATTTTTAATTAGTTGTCTTGGTTGACTAATCTTGGTTTTGTATCTTTGTCTCCTTCTACCTGGTGTTTTTGCTCAGCTCGTCAAGCTATGCCTTATTCTATGGTTTGCTATACCAAAACACAAATAGTTAAGCTTACAGCAAGATTTAACAAGATGTTTCATAGGGCTGTCACATCCAGTAGGAAAGCACTCTCTTTAGGCTGTTACATCATCTCCACTAGTAAAATAGTTAAATACTTTCCTGGAGAGCATTGAGTTGTATGTGGTTTTCACTTTCTCTTTTTTTTTTTCCTAAGGGAAAGGTGAGACAAAAATTATTATTTTAGGCTTTAAATAATATTTTTATTCGGTATCTGCTATTATGACTTTATGTTATTGAAAGCAAGGAAAAAGTGCCCCTTGGAACTTCAGAGGAAATATGATGACATTTCAAGAGGTTTTGAAGTCCTAGGCAGGACTTATTACTCAGTCTTGTATTAGACCACACTACAGATCTCTCCTGTGCTCAAATATATTTTCCTTTTGTGCTGAACAATTCCAGTGTAATTTTAAATTGGATATATATTTATGTATTTTATATTCATCTATATCTTAAATATACACACACATATATAAATATATATAAATGCACACAAATTATAGATAATGTATTTACGAATTCAACTTCAATATATTTATGAAAGAAAAGGGTATCATTCAGGAAGTTTTAGATTGTTAGAGAATGGATGGCTTTATTCTGTGCTGCAGATCAATGTAAATGTGCGTTTTACTGCAAATACACTTCTGCATTGGTATTTGGATTTTGAAACATTTAAAGTATATGCACTAGTCTTTTCCTTATCTTTCTGTACCTACAGAAAGCAGAAAATTTGCTTATATTTAGACAAAGAATGAGTTTTATTTAGACTGCACTGTGCAGTTATTGTGAGATTTTACTGCTTTCTTTTGGGGGCAGGGTGTAAAAAACAATGGCAGAAAGAGCAGACTGATATGCTGCACGCACTCCTGATACTCGTTTTGTGGCAGAGGCTGACTGCAATTTCTTATGCGCATTGTTACAGAATTAAATCTGTGACCTCTAATAAAGATACCACATATAGTGAAGTGTGACACCTAATCTGTCTGCACTGCTTCCAGCAAAGTACTTCCACCTGGGCCTTGCAGTTCTACGCTGCAGAGGGGGAAGTACATACATACTGCAGTATTACATTCCCAACTGTCAAAACCCACCACTTCTGGAGGAGAACTTGTGCTTCTCTCTCAATCAAGGGTGCTCTAGCCCCCTGGAGCTGAGGTGAGGAACTTCTGAAGGTTTAAGGAGAAGCAGAATATGCACTGTATCTCTTTGCTCTGTGTATTAGCTCTTTGCTGATCTCTGATCCTCCCTGTGACCATGTTTTCAGGAAGAAAGATGCCAAATGATAATGAAGTTAGGGTACAATCCTTATTTTCTTTCATAGGTGAAAAGTTTATTCAGAATCCCAGCTAATAAAGGAGCCAGAAAGTAAAGATATTCTTACTGCATTGATTGTATCTAGATTTTTGTAATCATCACACTGAGATATTTTGTTTTAAACTCTTTGTATACTAAAATATATGACTTAACACAGCAGGTCTTTAAATTCATTGTTTCTTGGATTTGAATTCAGATTTAAGCCTTGCTTCTATAAACTCTTGCATATAAACACAACTCAGAGTGACAGTTACTGCATCAAGGAAGAAAAAAAGTTACATTTAGTAGTACCTTAGGATCTTGGCTTATGATGACCTCAGACACCTGTACCACCCCTGTCTCAGCACCTCTGGCACAGATGGAAGAATTATGTATGAAACAGCTCTTGCACCACTGCAATTTACAACATAGATTACTACTTCTACTTTGGAGCTATCTTAATCCACTGAGCAATGAATAGGGGCAGTC